CGGCTGCTGCTCGCCGCCGGGTGGGCGCAGCAACGGTTGGGATCCCCCCAGCCTCCTCGACGACAAAACGCGGCGGTGGACCCCGCCTTCGAGGGGTTTCCCACGGCGCTCGACCCCACCGCCGAGGCGGACGGGGAAGGCCTCCGTCGCGTCATCGCGCAGGTGGCGGACCTTTCCATGGCCTGCCTAAACGCCTGGCGAGGGCAAACCAAAGGGGGCGAGGGGAGAGCGGCTCGAGAGGCCTGTGCGGCGGTGGTGGTCGCGAGTCGTGAAACCAACGGGGTGTTGCGGCCGCTGCTCAACCGCCCCCCGCCTTGGCCGATGGCCGCTTTCCTCACCGACGTCGTCGCGCTCCTCCGCGAATTCGAGGCGGCCGAGGTGGCGGCGTTGGAACGAAACGGCGCCTTGGACGACGTCGAGGCCGCGCTCGTGCGGGGGTTTCACACCGAAGGCGGGGCTCGCCACGCGGCGAACGCGCTCTTTGATCGCTACCTTCGACTTCTCATGGAGGAAGGGCTGCGGCTTCGCACCTCGCGCGCGCGTGCGCTCGTGCGGTGCGTGGAAAGTCGTTCGGAAAGTGGGCTGGAGGCGTTGGTGGAGGCGTTTATGCTGCTCTGTACTTCTCGGTTTGGGTTCACGGAACCTTTTTTGGAGGCGGTGTGGCTTCCACCCTGGGCGCTCACGCGGCTCGTGGAGCTCGCCGCCCGGCTTCACAGCTCCCGCGTTCCCACCAGCACCGCCATCCTCTCCGCGTTGCTTCGCGTGCTGATGGAAAAGGGGGTCGCGGCATGCGGGGATATGCCCTCCTTGAACGAGGTCGCCTCGCTGTTGTTGTTGCCGATCTGCTCGGACTTAGGGGTGAAGGAGCAGCTGGTGGAACGGATTAGTCAACGCGCAATCGAGCTCAGCCAAAGGGAAGGTTCGACGAATGCAAAGGGGAATGCGCTAACGGATTGCGCGCTGGAAAAGGCGTATCTTATCGCCTATCTGGTTCGTGCTAATGCACCGGTGAGCGAGAAGTTGCTGTCTGCGTTTCGTCAGTCCGCATGATGGCGCAATGGGTCTATCAAAAAAAGAAAAAAAAGAAAACGACGATATCCTTGCTCTTTTCTATCGCATTCGTGGGTTCATGTTCACTCTGGTGTTTTGCTCTTTATGTGTTCTTAAAAATAATATAAACACAGAAACGCGGTTTGGTGTTTTTTATTAGTTTAACAAGCTTGAAATCTAAACCAATCAATATAGATGTATCATCCAATCCCATGAGCATCATATGGTACTTAATTTATTAACTCCATCCTTTTCCCATATTGACTTCTTCTGCAACCAATCCTTTAGGTATGCTCTACAATCCAGAGCGCAACTTTGATGAATATTAGAGTAAACGGATCGAGGTATCGATGCAACACAGCATCGATATCCATCAAGCACCGCTTTGGTCGACGTGCGGTGCTGGTGAAGAATACGCCGATAGTAGCGAACCCGAAAAAGAATCAAGTGATGTCACCCCCCAATGCGAGCGTCGCGGGGCTTTATAACCATGGCAACGGTGATTCTGGTAAACTCGTCATTTGTGCGGTCGATGCGCAAGGGCATTTCGCGGTCGAACCCGGGGGTTCCTACAGCATTTTCGTCTACTCCACAAACGTCGAGGACGCCAAGCACGGCGTCAGCCGCCCTATTGACAAAATCAAACGAAGAGCCCGACTCCTTACGCGTTACAGTCAGGAATTAAGCTTGGGAGGTGACAGTATAAGCGAGGACCTTCCGTTGTCGATGTGGAAGCGTACGAGCCAGACCCGTGGCTCTAACAAGTATAACCAGTTTGTCGGGCTGTTTCGCGGGACGTTTGCGAATACGTCGTTTCAGGATGCCGCCATGGAATGGAGCGAATTCTCTAACAGGGAAAAGAGGGATGAGTCGGTGGAGGCGTTGGTGGAGCAGGTTCGTCTGCAGGGGAGGTATCAGTTGCATAACACTGAGGCTTAAGCCAAGAAAGGCGCAGGGTCGGTGATGCTATAGATTTGAACAATGCTTACGATCGGTGAGTACTAATAACTAATTCAGCGCGATTCCATATGGAAATGGCAATTCTATGTATTTTATTTTGTTAACTATATCCTTCTTCCTCTTCGCCTTCGTAACCACAAACAGTAACTCTCCAATAACTCTCGACAAGTTGGAGTTCATTATTAGGGCCCTAGGAGTTATGCAATGGTTTTGCTGAGAATATTAACAGGCAAAAGGAGATGGAGACATCATGAGGCCGAATCATAGTTGCTCAGGAAATGAGGCTGTGGAGAGGTAGAGAGTGATGCCCCCAATGAGTCTGTGCTTTGACTCTCGAAGTAAAAATTTACATGGCCGTGGGTATGCAGAACATCTGAGTATAACTTGCGTGATGCGCAAGGCTCATGAGCGGATGATTTAAAAAATGTCAATGCTATCGTACAATTGTGTCGATCTGTCAGGGTAGCGGATTGAAACGCCATACAAGGTTTTGTTTTTTTACCTATCATCTCTGATGACTGATAAAAAATAAATGACATGTAACAAATTCCACGGTCAACACTTTACCGCCCCAAATCAATATTTTTTTGCCTGAATTCACTTTTTCCCATCCGTTGGCAAAACGAGATTAGCCTATTTTGCTCCTACTGTGGAGGCACTTTATACGATAAGCGTGATGGAGTGAATCAGCGGCAGTTATGCTTCGTGTTATCCGAGATGATATCTCATGAAAAACAAAGCGATTGCCAAGACGTTTTGACTGCGTCGAATATCTTGAAAAATACGACGCTAAGTAATATACGGCTGAAAGGGACGCCAACCTATGGGAAGCTCATAAGAAAAAAAGGCTGAACTATTCCTCCCCCCCCCCCCCTCCCCCTTCAATTGTGTGTATCTTGAGCGCGTAGAGATAATATTCTTCTACGGCATTAAGCTCGTTCAACTGATTCGCTTGCGCGTCATTGTGTACGTCCTACTTAAAACGTTACACATAGGATGGAGGGCGCCTGTTTTTTTATTATTTTTTGAATGGGGAGGAGCTTTCTTTTTCCTCACCTTCAATATTTATTCGCGTCGTATTCTATTCTGAAACCTCAAAAATTATAAGATATCACCTCGAACTCATTTGTGTCTTTTTGTGTATGCTAATCTTCGTTTGTACAATGTGAACTAAATAAGTCTAAATGTGTGATATTTAAAATACCTATTTACCTTCCCATCATCACTATGGTCATTATGAAAATATTGTGATAGTAGTAGCATTCCATGCATCTAGCTCTGCAAGTAGGCCAGATTAGCGTGTTAGGTAGATGCATTCAGCGATGGAAGTCGATAGCGACCCCCGTCTCGATATCTTAAAGCCTTACAACGCCTACGATCTACAGCAGGAGTTCGAGGATGATTCACCGCTAGAGGCCTACACGCGCCTCTGCGCTCAGCACGAATGCAAGCCGAACTCGCACGTCTCCAGGCTTCTCTCGAACACGGCCAACGGTTGGGATACGCTTAGTGTGCTCGACGTATCCAAAACCTATATCGGACCGAAAGGCTTCATCTCACTCATCAACTTATGTTGTCGTCTCTCGTCGTTGCGAAGGCTTTGCTTGGCGGATAATTTCCTCCAGAATGAGTCCATCTGGCACCTTGCGGGGATGGCCATGCACCATCCCACGCTTACCGAGATCGATATTAGCCAGAATGAGTTTATTTCATGGACGGGGGGGATGTGTATCGCGCAGGCGCTGTTGGGTAACGTGCAGATCACCTCGATTTGGCTGTACCAAACCGCCATCCCACCAAGCGTCGCGCAGGGTATTTTCCAGCAAACCCGACGAAATGCCGTTGCGATGTTTGTAGCACAAGGGGGGTGTCGGAATCCCGGGGATCATGCTCAACTTATCAAGCTGCGAGCGATCCAGCGTTTTTTTGAGGCCATGCAAGGGGAGGACCGCTGCATCGCGAAAGACGCCCTCGAGTCTGGATTTAAGGAAAGGCTACGCATTGAAGGGAAGGACCTCACCGCGTACGACTACACGGCAGATTTCATGGCTTCCCTAAACGAACGCGAGCCGCCTGAAAGGGTCTCCTGGGATGCGTTCATTGTCCTTGTGATGCTGGAAGGGGTGAAGTACTCCTCGACATTAGTGTCGGCGCTTCGAAAAGTTTTTTTAGAGTTCGATGTCTGTTACCTAAAGGCCGTGGATGCCATTGGGGTCAATGGCTACGTTGAGGTAAGGTCTTTCGCCGATATATACGTAAGACTTTATGAGCAAAAGCCGGAGGAAGAGGATATAACTTACTTGCAAGACCTCTTGGGTTTGACAAACGGCCAAACAGTTGATTGGTCTGAGTTCTTGTATATCTGGTATCACCGACGGCTGCAGGCTGGAAAAAGGAGCGTTGGAAGTACTCTCACGCCTCTCTCACGGACCACTTTTCTTTGGCATTACTAAAGAAGGTGTTGATACAGAGAAAAAAGGACCTGGGCAGATGAAGATGAGCTGCTCTGATATCTGGCTTACGATGGTGGGTTATGGTCAGGGTGTTGTGGATTTTACATAGCATTCATGATTTGCTTTCCATCTTTCTCTATCACCTCTTCTACTTTTTCTCTCCACACAAGCAGAAAAGGCTCCATTCTGTGGAGCCTTATTTCTGATGGTCCATTCTTACCCAGATATTCGATGTACACTATGTCGCTTGCAGTGAGGCATCTGGCAGTGGAAAGGCAAATGAAAGAACCTTCAATAAGCTCAACTCACAGTTTGTAAGTCATAGATGATACTTGAGCTATGTGTCTTTTGATAGTATATATCTGTATGTATATTCCATTAACTTTACTGCTTCGGATGTATCACTTATTTTCTTTGGGATCTTTACGAACTTGTACGACAGTTTTTTCATAATAAAAGGACCTATTAAGATTCTCAAAGAGTGACAATTTGAATCATTTCAAGAAGAAGTATTCTTTTTTTAAATGTTGTATGCATATTAATATATATATATATATATTAATATAAAAGTCATATTCATACAAACACGTTGCATCATTTAATCTTTTTTTAGTGCTTCATACACATAAAAACTAGCAAAAACATCTAGATATTCCTTACTCTGATATATCACATGCCCGATATCAAATGTGTGTTGGTGGTTCGCATGGGGAAGGAGGTGACGCAGCGCTCTTTCACTATTGCCAAACCCCCTAAGACGGTGGAGGAAGCCACGGAGCTCCTTCGCTCTCACGATCTGCGATTGGAAGCGGTGACCTTCGAGTATACTGTGCATTCGCCGCAGGTGAACAAGGGTAATTCTGTAAAATTTACCAAAAATTCGGATCTGGTGTCTTTTTTCTCTAATAACCCCGAAGAAGTAATCTTCGACGTACCTTTGAAGGGTGATGCCGATGTGAGTGCAATCTTATCTCCACAGTTCACCGATTCTGAACTCGTCAAACTGCTCATATTCCCGCCATTAGATTCCAATAGCTCGAACTCAGAGGCAGAGGTGGTGGAAAAGATTCTTGTTATTCCCCCGATTGACGTGGTTCCCGCGCTGAAGAGGTCTATAAGGAGCACCATGAATTTATCGCCATTGTCGATGATCAAGGCTGATATTTCTGTTTTTTTCATACCCTACAAGGAAGACAATAAAAGCAGCAAGGGGATGGGCACGATGCCGGTTGGACCGATCACGGAAAACAAAGTTGCGCGGGAGTGGCTGGTAAATCATGCCAAGGCCGGGAAGGCGTGCAAATTAACGTATAAAGTACTTAATCAAGCAAAACCGGCCGCGCCGGCAAACCCTCCACGGAAAGTTGCTCCCGAAAATCCTTCTTCTCAACCCAGCAAGACACCTCCGGAGCCCACGCGGCGTGCGGACGACGGGGTGGAAAAGAAGGAGGCACCGTTGAAGCCCACGGTGAATACGTCTATGGTGGTGAAGGAGGAAAGCGAAGGGCGCTCGTCGTCCGCGGCGTCGTCTGTTTTCCCCTCCTCACCAGGCCGAACAACGCCGCAGATGATCACGGTGCTCGCTTACAATTTAACCGGGGATTGTCAGAAAGTTCACTTTGCGTACTGCAAAACATCCCCGGCTCTTCTGGAAAGCTTTCAGGCGGCCCTGACGAAATCGCTCGCCCTCACGACGCCCGTGAGCCTCGTCGTCCGCACGGGGGAGGGGGATTTTGCGCTCGAAAATGTCGGGCAACTGCGAGAATGGGTGGCGTTATCGAAGGAGGCGGGGCAACCGCTCTCGATTTGGCTCCGCCCCGGCGCGCCTTCCCTGGCGGCGATCCCCCCCCCCCCCGCCTCCCACCC